CAGCAGTTGTTAGCAGCATACACTGCTGGTCAGTGTACTTAATCTATCACATTAAACTCTGCATCTCCACTTACCTGTCACTGTTCCTGTTTTTTTTCCAGGTTGAATAGGGCTAGCCAGACCTACTTCTTCCCTGTCCACCTAACAGATCAGCTGCTTCCAAGTGCTGTATTCTATGCCACTGTAGGACCTCTAGTTATCTACTTCGCCATGCACAGACTAATCATCAAACCCTACCTCAGGGCACAAAAGGAGAGGTGAGCTGGCAGGACCGTGCTTTGAAGTCAGAGCTGGGATGTGCCACTCAGGTGCTTTTGGGGGCCTGGTGCAAAGGCTGGGTATCCAGCTGAGGCACTGTGGTTTGCTGCGGCACCGACACTGCTGTGTTTTGGAAGCCTACAAAAATATCTTGAAAGGTGGGGAAGAACCTTAAAACCCAAGCTCATTTGTGTGGGGCTGTGGGTCAGCTGTAGCTGGGGTGGGTAAGTGAACGTCTGCCCCATTGTGGCTGAATCCCACCCGCCGTGTAGATTTGATGTGGTGTTCACTTCCTTCTGCCAGGGAGCTGGAGAAGCAAAGGGAGAGTACAGCCAGCGACATGCTTCAGAAGAAGCAGGAGGCTGAAGCTGCAGTAAGTTTCTTCTGTAACATATTCTGCTTGTTGAAGGAAGCTGTCCTCTGGGCTTTTCTCTTTTTAGACACACTGCCTGACGCTGCCTGATTTTTGCTCTGCTCCTTGTGTTGTGATAGGTCCGGTTAATGCAGGAGTCTGTCCGGAGGATAATTGAAGCGGAGGAAGCCAGAATGGGTAAAGATTACAACACTATTTACTTGTTCCATAAATTTGGAGAAAGGAAGGAGCAATACAAACGCTGGGTGGTTGAGAGGAGAAATGCAAGATTTCATTTCTTCCTTTTCACTCCTAGTGAAGCACAGTGTGATGCACATGCAGTGGGGAAGTTCCATTATGATCCAGCTTCTGGTGCCTGAGCTTATTAGGGTTCCATTGGCTATTGTCTTGGGAGGTGGATTGACAGGCTGAAGACAATAGTCTGGATTCACCTCTCCATAAAAGAGATGTGGGTATAAATACATGCGAAGGTTACAATCTGAAGTTTAGGTTTCATTGGTCTCTAGCTTACATGGTTTTCTCATGGATCATAATGGGAATCTGATTTCTGATGCAAATGCAAGAGAATGTTCCCAACGTGACCTGACATCTACTTGGACTGTCACATCAGTGTGGCATGGAAGTCATTCTGTCCTAGCACTGAAAATTGCTAGCAAACACCCAAGTAGGAATGTTCTTCTGTCTGGAGAAGCATGGGTCCAGGCAAGGAGAATTTAAATGTCATTGAAAGCAAGAGAAAATGCCAGGATGGTCTTTTCATCAGAGTCTGCCGAGCTGTCAGTGGGAAGCCTTTCATCACATCTGTGATTTTCTGTGAAATACAGGCTTGATTGTAGTGAACGCCTGGTATGGGAAGTTTGTTAATGACAACAGCAGGAAGAATGAGAAGGTGAAAGTAATAGATGTGACTGTGCCCCTGCAGTGCTTGGTGAAAGACTCTAAACTCATCCTTACAGAGGCATCCAAGGTACGTAGCTCTTCTGGCAGAGCCCGGCTCAGGGGCTTGAGTGCGCGACTCGGAATTTCAGTTGAGCTGTGTGTGCTTCTGCCCACGGATTTCTGCAGTGTGCTTGAGGCTTAGTGACCCTAGATCAATTTCTAGAAGCCATTTACATACCAAGTGTTATGAAGCTGCAGGAACTTCTGTTTCTCTGGAAATTTCCAGTGCCTCAGAAACAGCGTCTCTGTATTTGCAGCGTGGGACTGTGTGTTACAGACTCCAGGACTGTACACCAGAAACTTCCCAAGCCCCTGATTTGCTCTTTTCTGCAGTTAGAACTTGCCACTGCGGAGGTGCTTCCTTAGCTTCGTGTCTTACCTTACTTGCAACAAAACTTTTTTTTTTTTTTTTTTTAAATGACACCTAATTCTGGCACTAATAAATGGTTTGGGTCAGCTGAAAAGCTCTGAAAGTCCATTCCCTGATGTTCAGTCTGTCCTCTTCTGGTTCAAGGCTGGACTGCCAGGTTTCTACGACCCCTGTGTGGGTGAGGAGAAGAGTTTGAAAGTGCTTTATCAGTTCCGAGGAGTTCTGCACCAAGTGATGTCAGCTGACAATGAGGCCCTCAGGATACCAAAGCAATGTAAGTAGCAAGGACTGTCCTGCTGCTTCCTTCAGGAACCAGCAAAGGGTTGCTTTGGCCCTGTGTGACAAAGTACTCAGAACTCAGCTTCTGGGGTTCAGAACTGGGGTTACTCAAATGGCCAGAGCATGATAGCCCCCTGGAGTATAACCTAAAAGAGCTCAGCATCACCACTGCAGCTGTTCATGCCATCTAACCTTACATATCTAACTGGAGGTAGAAGCAGAGGCCTCCTGCAGCTGCTGATGTCCCTGCCAGGCAGTTCACAGCACCAGGATGCCATTTGAGCACTGAACTGGATGTAGGAAGGCAAGTTAGAGCCCTGAGCCACATTTCTTCCTCATCTCCATTTAACTATCTCCAAAACATTCTACCTGCTAGAATAATTTTGTGAAACTAGTATCTGCTGCTGACATGTTTTCCTGGGACCCTGTGGGTCTGGGGAGCTGGCTCAAGGGCACAAACCTCTGTTGACTCTAGACCAGCTCCCTGGCCCAATTTAAGAAGCGTATCCAACTTACAAAGCTTCTGTACGTATGTTAGAGGTGCATGGGAGTAAATTAGCAGCCAGAAGCGTTCCTGACAGGGTAGTAGGTAAGGAGGGTGTGTGTCCGCTTGCTGCTCTCGCCCTGCAGCTCACAGGATCGATGCGGACGGCTAAGGCCAGAGCGCGCGCGGCTGCGGCGGGACCTTGGGGACTGCAGACAGAAGCCACAGAACCTTCCCTTGGACGCTACGAGTTTGAACAGCTGAACAGAGACGTTTTTATTTTTACTATCCATATAGCAGGCGGTGTCTGCCGGTCCTGTTAGGAGACAAAATGGGAGAACCTGCTTGCGCAGGCGGCGCCAGGGCAGCGCTCTGCACTGGTGGGTACCCAATAAAGCAGCGTGACTCTGAGTGCGCAGTGCTTTCTGCCGAGGTCGTGCGAGCGGGCGCTGAGCTCCTCCCCTCACTCCGCCAGGCCCTCCCCGCTGCACTCCGGCCCCACTCCCTTCCTGTGCTCTCACCTGGGTCTTCTTGGACTGAGTGGGGACGAGGACCTGCTGTTCTCACTCCTTCACGTACTTCCTGGGGTAGATAACATACCTTTTTCTGCTCCTGAGGGGAATTTAAGTTCTCTGTCTGCCTCCTGAAGGCGTCTGTGTAAATCCTTTTTTTTGGAAAGAGGACAGAGATGGGATTTCTATCTCAGATCTGTATTTGAAATGTACTTGTTAAGAACAAGTATGTTTGGAATGAAGTCCCTTTGGCTTTTGTAGTAACATGGACCTCTTTGGCATGAATCTATCTAGCTGCTAATTTCAAACTTTGCTATTCCAGACAAGGACACAGGGTATAATAGCCTTGCCAATTCTTCTGCCACCTAGAACCATCAAGGTTTTTAAGAAAAGAGGAAAGCAAGTGGGAGAGAGGGACAGCAATTCAATTGATTCTGATACTGCAACTATCTTATAGGAAAAAGGAACATAGTTTAGACAAGTAAACCAGACCAAAGTGAGGAGAGATACCGAGTGGGTAAAGAGTTGAAAATGTGAAATTCAGCTGTCCTTTCTAAAAAGTATCAGTTATCACATAAATCCATTGGATTAGCCTTGTGTAGAAGCCATACCAGTGATTTAACAGCAGAAAGGGCAGTCCTGTTTTGGTGACACAGCAGATGGAAATGGCAGCCTTGTAGCATCTACTATGCACTGCATACACAACACGACTGAGGTTTTTTTTCAGAGAGAAAAGGAATAATTGTGGCTGTTCTCAGTCACAGTTCTGTTCTTGGTGAGTTCTAGAACAGCTTTCATTGCTTACACATGAGATACAGAAGGGGAAAACCACCCCAATGTATCTTGGCTGTATGTTGTTGCTTATGACAAGTACTACCATAGATCATTTCCTGACGCATGCCTGGCCCCTTCTTCCATTGCACAGTGGTTCCCTGCTCAAGTCACTGTAACAGGGCAATGAGATTTCCAAAAGCAGATGTATTGGACCAATGTGAGATGCCCCCTGCCTTTAAAAAGCAAGTTCATGCAAGGAAGTGGTGTTCACTTGTTTTTAGTAAACCCAAAACTCTTCAGTGGTGCCTGGTGCAGTGTTTTATTTCACCTAAGCCCAGGGTTCTGCTGATATGAAATTCGATGTGAGATGTGCAAGGAATTATGCTCAGATGAACAGTAGCCCACATTTCCTTTGTAGGACACTTGAACACCTGGAAAGCAAAGGCTGCAAGTTTTGTAAAGCTAATAGCACCCTCTGTCACATCCTGCTGATCCTTTGTCTCGGTAACTACCTGCACCGAGCAGGAATCTCCACCAGAAATTCCATTTTTGTGTCTTGTCACTGCATGAAGTGTAAGGTCAAGAGTGAGAGCCAGTCTGTAGTGACAAGTATGTGGCAAAATACTCCCAGGAGGAGCAGTGAGGATTGAGTTTTGCATAAGCAACTGCAGAATAGTGACAACACACTGCTAATTATGAAGAAGAATCTTGGCATAGCCCCGTGTCTGGCAGCACAGTGACACCGAGGAGCATTCTCATGAAGAGCTGGCACAATAAAGTAATCCTAATTTCTGAGAATTTCCTGAGATACAGTTTCTGCTGTCATGAAAGTGTTTTCTTGCATGTTGCCTATATCAGATGTAGAGAAATAGCAATGTGATTCTAAAAACTGCATGAGGTGGAGTTACAGGTTTAGGATTTACTTTTTAGAGTCTTCCCTTGTCTTCCTGTGCATGCCCTTGTCTTTGACAGCCATGTCCTAGGGTGGCTCAGCCAGTGAAAGGCTGTAGGGAGCTGGAGCTCCAGGCACCAGTTCTGCTGTAAAAACTGTCTAAACCTCCTCCTGTGTGTTCAGTGCTTGGAGTCAGGCAGGTGCTTCCCTCTTGTTGCTGCTCTGCTCTTATCAGACCACTATCTTAGTTCTCCTGCCTTCCACCCCTGCACCATCTTCCCATAGCACCTCAGGATAATCTGTCTAATTGCAAAGAAGTTTGTGCAAGGGACAGATGAACCTTAACTTTGTACTTTGAATATTTGAATTTGTGACTCTTGTTAAAATCCCTCACAATTGATACTGACACAGGCCTTGTCCCATTCCCTGGCTAAACATCATGAAAAGTCTACAGTTTGCTTTCTCCTGACAGATCAGCCCACCAAGGGTTCAGACCCTTGCTTTTCCCCTCAAATACTGAGTGCCCTTCCCCACCCATAGGTCTGCCACAGCAGATTCTTCTTAGCAGTAAAGCTTGAGCTCCATTCTTGGTTCTCTGCAGTGTGTGTAATTGTCAGGTGTTGCTGAATTGTGTCCTGGTGGAGTCACTGCCTGTCCTGCCCATCACCTTCCTCGGAGCTGGGTACTGGCTCGGTCTCCTCTGCCGAATACTTAAAGATGCTGTAAGAATAGCCCCACTGGAGAGACCACTGCTTTTACCACCACCACTTCTGCTCCCTAAGAACCTTCCGTTGTACAGCTACAACTCCCCTGGGACTTCTGTTTATCACTATATAGTACAAGATTACAAATAGCATTAAAATGGAAGCTATATGTGACCACAGCTTAGCTTCTAACAGGATCTAGTGCCCTTTCCCAAAAGTCAAGCCATCTTTTGAGTTTGCCAGGGTGTTGAGGCTGCTGCTTTGCAGGCAGCTGGCTGAGCAGCAGTGCCTCCAGGGTTTGGCATGTACTGGCGGGTGGCACCAAGGCACCAGCATCCCTTTGGTGGTGTGGACTGCTCAGTGCCATACTGTGGAATGGCTCCCAGAGGCTTTAAAGAGTTTTGGGGTTGGGTGTGGCCAAGCAGACCAGTCTCTGCCAGGCAGATGCAGCCCGGTCCTGGGTCTGTTTCTGAGGCTGCAATGCCCAGCCCTGCAGGGACCTGGCTCTCAGGCAGGTGGGACAGGTGTGGCACCACCTCGGCCAGCAGCTTCCCCTGGCACGATATGCCCTGCCTGGCTTCCCACAGCAAGCCTTCGTATCATGGAGGGAAGAGCACTTAAAGCATCGAGTCTTGCTGGCACCTGGCACAACTGCTTTACACACCAGTGAATCACAACAGCACACTCCTAAGTTTGGCATAAAACCAAATCATGGTTCACTTGTTTCATATTTAAGAAAAAAACAGGGTTCATTAAAGCAGATTTAATGAAAAAATAAAGTTCTGAATTAAACTATAATTATACATGGCTGAAAGTGATGAACTAAAAGAATGGAGATGTTACTTTTTTTTTCCCCCCCTCTCTGCTGACATTGTAACATGGTGGACTTGCCAGACTATCAATTTGGAGAGATCTGAAAAGGTAACAGAATGAGAGTCAGTCACAATGGTTAGTATTGAGCCTCTGTGAAGAGACAGGTGGCACAGCAGTTCACCTTTTGTCCCATAAAAGCTTCAAGAACATGTTCCACGGAGGTCCAGCTGAATTGCAGACATGCTGTAAACAGAGATACCAATTTTCAAAGCATGTCCAGCTTCTGTAGCTTGAGACAGGGATCTTCCAAAGCCTTTCTGTCTGCAGAGTCAAATGGCAGCATTTGAGAACTTTGGTTAATTTTCTGGCTGCAAAGGTCAGGCAGCCATTGGGGACAATTCTTTGGCAAACTCCTCAATGGTTCCATGTAGCTTCTGCAAGGCAGCAAACCACATCATGGTCTTAAGGTTTTACAGAAGCTGGAGCTGGTTTTCAGAACCCAGAGTCAGTTGCTGCAGCTTGGTGGAACTGGGTGTTTATATGCAGGACAGAAGGATGTTGCATGTCGTGCAGCTTTCATCCTGCCCAAGCCAGAAGACCTTTCACCCCTTCACGTCCCACGCAGCGGAGGCCCAGGGCACTGCAGTGGACGGTCTGTCTGTAGCTTCAGCAGCCCCGAGATGGACATCTGAAGGAGGTTACCTGACTCCGTGTGCTGGAAAGACTCGTGGCCATCACCAGGACACACCTCCTGACGGGCCAACCCTTGGATAAGGCGGTGGTCTCAGAGGGGTTGTCCGCGGGACTCACGTGGACACCTTCCCACCGGGACGGCCGGTCTCGCGTCAGCCGCAGAACCAGCCAGCGACTGCCTCGCCTCACGGTCTCGCTGGATGGAGCACAAGGTGTTCATCAGGTGGAACTTCAGAGAAATGCTCAAACTGTAAACCAAGTTTGTGCAATACATACGGCTTGTTCTGGTCATTGAGGAACAACGCCACCATCTCAGTGACCTTGTGTACGAGCCTCAACTCCCTGTCACATTTCTGAGCAGATTTCCCTCGGGCTGAGGCCCCAGGAAGTCCTGTTGAGGAACCGCGGCATCGGCGGGGGGCTCAGTGCTCAGGGGGCCTCGCCCACCACAGATGGATTCTTACTGCACTTCATCTTGCTTGCTGCATAGCCTGTGTTTGCTTTTATCTGCATAACTGGCAACCAATAGGCTAGAGATTATGATCTTTTGATTACAGATCCAGTCTCAAAAACACAAGCAGCAAAAACAAAAGTCAACTCAGCTGAAGTAAGTATTTCGGTGGAAATTATCAAATCCCAAGCCAGACCTGCCAGGTTTCAAGTTCATTATGGCCCCTTGTACGGTCCATGTTTGAATTCTGGGCCAGGAGAAGGGAGAGTCATCGTCTTCTTAGAACAGCACCTTAAAGTTTAACAAAGGGCTGGCAAACAGAGCAAATGGTAA